CCAAGCTGCCCGGCCGGGCCCGCGGCGGGGACGCACCCGGGATGAGGCTCCGCACCGCGCGGCACAAACTCACACCCGCGGCCTCCGCGCCGGGCGGAAGTCTGCGTGGCAGGGCTCGGGCGCCGCCATCTTGGCGCCGGGCGGAAGTGACGCCAAGGGGCGGGACCGGCCCACAGTATTTATTAGGCGGTGCCGTGCTGCCCTCCGCCTTCTCTTCCCGGTTCTTCCCGGAGTCGGGAAAAGCTGGGTTGAGAGGGCGAAAAAGGATGAGGGGACGGTGGTCTTGGCCCCAGGCGCTGGGTGAGGGCGCCACGGCCAGGTCTGGGGTCTGGGTAGCGCCACTCCCACCAAACAGGGATTTGCCGCGGGAGCCTCCCGGGTGTCGTGGGGTCGTGGCTCGGGGCACCCGGCAAAACCCGGTGAGAGCGAGACCCGGACTCAGAGTCGGGGGACCCTGGCTAGGCGGAGCCTGGGTGTGGGTTCTCCATGGTGACCTTGGAGTGGTCACTGTGCCCGCGGGCTGCCACCTTGCGCTGGCTCAGGACCCTGCCCGGGTTCCTGGCGGCATTCTGGGCAGGGGCTGTGGGGCAGCCTGCAGCAGCTGGGGTGCACCCGCCTCTGCGGGGTGGCCGAGACCTGGCGGGAATCCGAAAATGAAGTTTCTCTACGGCTGGAGGGTGAATTGCAAGAACTTTTATCGACTCCAACGTTTGTAATTTAACAGACGAAATGTCCTTTGATGTTTTTCCTCCAATCCCCAAATCATATAAAAACTCGTAATGACATTAGGAAGAAAACCATTTTTGCTAGAATTCCACATAAAGTACCGTTAACTCATCATTTTGTAATAACATCCAGTCCCCTTCACAGGGCTGTCATACGCACCACAATGTTGTACCCTCCTTTTTCAAATAACATCTCTGTTGAGGCTTCACATGATTGTGTAATTCTCCGGTGGTTCTAGCAAGGTTTACTGTTTGAGGAATTATATCGTTTCTTTGCCCTGTTGTAAATAACACTGCCATGAACATCTGGTGAAGTCAACATTTTTCCTTCTTTTGGATTATAGCTCTAGGACAAATTTCCAGGCCTGGGACAACTGGCCAGACATAAACTTTTATTATTATTATTATTATTAAAGGAAATTACCTTTTATTTTGAGATCGTGGTGACCAGGTGCGTGTGCGTGCGTGCCCAAGATCCCGAGAGGAGAATGGAAGAGAAGGGATTGCGGTGTGGCCATCCCTCCTGGGGGGTGATTTCTCGCTTTCTGTCTCTCTGTCTCTCTCTCTCTGTCTCATGAGTGCACGCGCCCTATAGCAAAAACCTCTCCAAAATAAAAAAGAGATCATGGTGAAATATACATACCACTGTAAGAAAGAATGCAGAGATCCCAGGTACTGTTTACTCAGTCCCCCCATAGTAACGTCTTGCATAACTAAACTACAGTATCACAACCAGAATATTGACATAGATTCAGACAAGATACAAGATATTTCTGTCATGAGGATCCCTCTAGCCGGCCTTTTATAGCCGCACCTCTCTCCACCCCCTCCTCCCACCACTAATCTGTTCTCCATTTCTATAATGTTATTTCAGAAGTGTTACGTAAGTGGCCCAGCCTAGTGGCACAGTTGGTAGCAAACTGAACCGTGGTGCTGAAGGCTACATGGCCGATTAGAGAGAGGGGTCCCTAGAGCCCAACCAGCCTAAAAACACTGGTTGTGCCCACCTGTGCTGAACTGGAGGGAGGGGGAGGGATTAAAGGCTAAGACCCTGTGGAGGGTCTCTCATGCACTTTCTTATGAATAAGGTAAACATTTCCAAAAAGTGCTTTTTAAGGTAAGGTTCTGTGGCCCAGTGGTTAAGAGAGAAACATGGCAGGCTCGTGTGTGTGTGTGTGTGTGTGTGTGTGTGTGCCTAAAATCCTGACAGGTTGGAGAAATGGAAAGGGCTTGCAGTGTGAACGTACCCCATGGGGTGGGAGTGGGGATGGTGCTGTCTCCCCGTTGCTCACTCTTTTTCTGTCTCTCTCTGGTGACCACACATGCCCTCTGGTTTACAAACAGACAACAAACAGCGTTATATAAGCGGAATCACGCAGGCCAGGACTCCATGGGATGGCCTTTTTCACTCAGTGTCCTTCTCCCGAGATGATCGATTGTTGTATCAATAGTTTGTTCCTTGTTACGGACGGCTGTCCATGGTTTGTTTAACAGTTCACCTTCTGAAGGATACCTGGCTTGTTTCCAGCTGGGGCTACTATGAATAAACTTGCTGAGAATCTACATGTGCAGATTGGTGTGTTAGCATGAGTTTTCATTTCTCTGGACTAATCACGCAGGGCTGTAATCGCTGGGGTGTATGGTAGTTATATGTTTAGTTTTATAAGAAACTGCCAAACTGTTTTCCTCAGGGGCTATGCTATTTTGAACATGTACATTTTATGGCTCTTCATCCATATGACTGAATTGCTTTCAAAAAGGTTTGTGCTAAATGCATTACCACTAAAATATATATATATATAGAGAGAGAGAGAGAGAGAATATAAGAATAAATGCAATATTTTGTCACATCCTTTTAAGTATAGGCTCTTAAATCTTTTTTCCTATTTGGGGCCAGCAGATGGAGCAGTGGTTAAGGCACTGGACTTCCTCATAGCAAGACCATGGTCGGAGTCCTGGACCTAGTGCTTGAAACTCACACTGGGCATGTGTGTGTGCATACCCAAAATCCCAAGAGGAAAAAAGAATGAGAAGGGATTGTGGAGTGGCCATCCTCCCAGGGGTGACTTCTCACTTTCTCTGTCTTTTCTGTGAGTGCGTGCACTCTATAGCAAAAGTCTCTCTCTAAATAAAAATCTTTTTGCCAATTTAATAATATATTAAGAGTGTGCTAATAGTTTATGCTTTTGGGAACCAGCAGTTAGCGTAATGGCTATGTCGCTGGACTCCCACATAGTCGACCGCAGTTAACGTCCTGGACTAGGTGGCTTGGAACTCACACCGGGTGCGTTTGCGTGCGTGCCCAAGATCCCGAGAGGAGAATGGAGAAGAAGGGATTGTGGCGTGACCATCCCCCCTGGGGGGTGATTTCTCGCTTTCTGTCTCTATGCCTCTCTCTGTCTGTCTGGAGAGCGCACGTGCCCTATAGCGGAAAAAAAAAAAAAACCTCTCCAAAAAAATAATAGTTTATGCTTTTTTTTTTTTTGTTTTCTTGTTATACGGTGCATGTTGTCACCAGAGAGAGACAAAGAGAGAAAGAGAGAGGAAAATGAGAAATCACTCCACATGGGGCATAGCCACACCACAATCCCTTCTCCTCTACTCTCCTCTTGGGATTTTGGGCATGCACACGCACACACTTGTCACAGTTTTCAAGCTACCAGGTCCAGGACTCGAACCATACAGTCGGTCATGTGGGATCTTGCTTTCTTAACCACTGGTTTAGGGAGCCAGACCTCCATACTGTTTTTTTTTTTTTTTAGAGAATTATTTTATTTTAATCATCATCATTTAATTTGCTACAGGGCACACGTGCTCACTAGAGAGAGACAGAGAGAGAAGGAATGTGAGAAAACAAGCTGCCAGGTCTGGGACTCAAACCACAGTCAGCCATGAGGGAGTCCAGCATCCTTAACCACCAAACCACCTGCTGGCTCCCCTCCATACTGCTTTTTTTTTTTTTGGTGGGGTGACAGGTTTTTTGCTATAGGGCACGTATGCTTGCCAGAAAGACAGAGAGACAGAAAGCGAGAAATCACCCCCCCGGGGAGATGGCCAAGTCGCAATCCCTTCTCCATTCTTCTCTCAGGATCTTGACTGAATACGCACACTGGCCCGGTGTGAGTTTAAGCTGCCGGGTCCGGGACTCCAACCGCGGTCGACTACATGGAGGTCTGGCGACATAGCCATTACGCTAACTGCTGGTCCCGATACTGCTTTTTGTTTATTTTATTTATTTATTTTTTAAGTTTCCTAGAGGACACGTGAGCTCACCAAAGAGAGGCAGAGAGGGGAAATGAGAAAGCACCTTTCAGAGCGGATGGCCATCTGCAGTTCCCTTCGCCTTTATTCTCCTCTCAGAATTTTGCACATGTGCCCGGCATATTTTTTGAGCCACCAGGTCCAGGACTTGAACCATATACGAGGCCATACAGGATCTAGCCACCTTAACCACTACACCACCTGGCTGGCCTCGTATCAGTTTGTTTATTTGTTTTGAGATTTTTGCTATAGGACGCGTGCCCTCACCAGAAAGATGGAGACAGAAAGCGAGAAAAGGAAAATGAGAAATAACCCCACAGGGGCATGGCCACGCCACAATCGCTTCTCCATTCTTCTCTTGTGATTTTGGGTACACACACACACATGCCTGGCATGAGTTTCAAGCATGCGTTGAACTGCGATCAACCATGCCCTGTATCAATTTTCTTTTTCTTTTTTTTTTTTTTGAGAGGTTTTTGCTATAGGGCGCGTGCGCTCACCAGACAGACAGAGAGAGACAGAGAGATAGAAAGCAGGAAATCACCCCCCAGGGGGGATGGCCACGCCGCAATCCCTTCTCCTCCATTCTCCTCTCGGGGTCTTGGGCACGCACGCACATGCGCCCGGCGTGAGTTTAAGCCACCGGGTCCGGGACTCGAACCACGGTCGACTACATGGGAGTCCAGTGACATAGCCATTACGCTAACTGCTGGTCCCTGTATCAATTTTCTAATACAGACACTTAATGATCAACTGCTCTGTATCTACATTGTTAAGTGAGTTGGTCAATAAGTGAGGAGCTTAAGGAAGGGCAATGTCTTGCAGTGTGTGCAAGAACCAGAGGCTATGTATGTTTCAATAGATACCATGCCATGCCACGCTGGAACGACGTCATTCTATCCCTTAGAAAAAAGTATACAAACCA